ACAGCCAGGTTGTAGTTACACTGCACAGATGCAGCCTGGTTCAGCCAGTGTCCATTTTGATTAGGCAGGGTCCTGGCTGTCCTGGTGGTTAAATATTTTTAAAGATTTCATTTATTTTTTATTTCTCCTTCTTCTCTCCAAAGCTCCTAGTACATAGTTGTATATTTTTTAGTTGTAGCTCCTTCTAGTTGTGGCATGTGGGATGCCACCTCAGCATGACTTGATGAGCGGTGCCAGGTCCTGCCCAGGATCTGAACTGGTGAAACCCAGGCCACCAAAGTGGAGTATGCGAACTTAACCACTTGGCCATGGGGCCAGCCCCAAATATTTTTAACTTTACCCCTGAAAGAGGCCATATAAGCTTCCAGATCTAGGCATCTGACCTCAGACCATCTTATCAAAGGGTGCAAGCCTAGCTAAAATTTGGGTGTTACTTGTTTTCCTTTGCTACTGTCTCCTGTGTATATTTCTCCCTCTGGACCTTGAAGAAGGGGAAATGGCTGTGGTCTAAGGTAGGATTCTTGTATTCTTAAATATTAACCTAATATTATCTAATGGACGCCAAACCAAACATAACCTTTAACATTATTAATGTTAGTAGTGTTTTGGTTATCTTAATATACCACTCCAAAATTTAGTGGTTCAAAACAACAGTCTTTTTTTCTTTTCTTTTTAAATTTCTCATGGTTGTATGGGTTGACTGCTTGGTGCTCTGCTGGTCAGTTCTGCTGGTCTCATCTGGGTCTCTTACACGGCTATAGTCAGATGGCAGCTGGGGCTAGAATCTCCAGATGGCTTCACTCGTGTGTCTGACACCTTGTCCGTGATGTCTAGAAGGCCAGACTCAGCTGGGATGCTGACAAGGCAAGACCTCTCTTTCTCACCTTGTAGTCCCAGGGCTTCTCCCTTTCCACATGGACTTGCCAAATGGTGGCTCAGGGCTCCTAAGAGCATAAAAGTGGAAGCTGCCAGACATCTTAAGGCTTAGGCCTGGGACAAGCACAGCGTCGCTTCTTCCTTATTCTATTCCTTAAAACAAGTCAGAGGCCCAGCCCTGACTCAAAGGGAGGGATTACATAAGGGTATAAATGCCAAGAGGTGTGGCTGATTGAAAACCACCAATGTAACTGACTTCCATAGGAAATGTTAGTGTCAGTTTTATTTGCAGTCTCTAGATTTAGTAAATGTACATGAGGATTTACCTCTCTCCCCAGTCAGGGTAAGATTTTTCTACATACGGTACAATCTCCATTAAGTGTTTCCTGAGAGCTTGAGGGTCTTAGTGTGTAGGGCTACTCATATACCCCAATATAGGCAGTCGCTATCTTTTGTATGTGGTTTAATTTAAAATTATGCAAATAAAGCCTCTGTTGACCCACCTGCTCCAATTTGACCTCACAGGGTTATGTGGAGGATTAAATAAAATCATTTATGTTAATTGCCTGGCACTATGCGTTAGTAAGTACTCAATAATGGTAATTGTTATTATTATTTTATTATTACTAGGGTCCCTAAGGTATTGGGCTGGTCTTGGTAAAAATGTAATGAGATGACTTTGGGAAGTCATGGTTCCCCAGGGCACCTGAGTGATTAATGCCCAAGAAAGTAGGTGGAATTGTTAACCTGAGATAATGGGGACAGAACAGGGTATCAGCTGCCCACACACAAGATGATAAGAGAATCAACAAGTACAGTTACAGGAAGTATCAGAAAGACAACAACAAGAAGAAAAAATAGAAGTAGTCACGTCAGATGAATAGGAAAAAGAATTTAGAGGAGAGAGATCAGAACAAAAGGAAGAATCGTTTATTTCTTAGTCAGCAAAAGGCCCCTAACAGACGATGAGGCCAAGGCAATAGAGAGACTACCTGGAAGGGGGAATGAGATGAGGAGCTGCCAGTTTTCAGCTTGCAAGGAAGACAGAACCAGGTAACAACCAGACTAAGAGAGGAGTGGGACATACATTCCCTTTGGGGTAGTATCAACCTTCTGGCACAACTAATTATGGATGATCCAGACAGCAAAGGACAAAGGACAAAACCAGCCCTTGGAAGGTAATAAATCAACTATATCCAGAGTGAAGAACCCGAGCCAATTGAAACAGCTTTGGCCTCATCATGATTATGGTGTTCAAATTTAGCCAGTTTATAACTCATTATCTACAAACTTTCTTTTCCCACATCTGTTATTCTAGTTTTCTCCTTAGTTCTCCTAGAAAAAATATGTAATAATATGTTTGAGAACAAAGAGATTAAATAAGATTTAAGTGAGATCGTGGGGGTAAAAAGCATTCTGTAAATTTTTAAGTGCTCTACAAATGTGAAATGCTATTATTTTTGAGCAGCAGACACAAGTGTTGCTGAGAGAGAGGGCTGTTAGGGCCCCACGGCTGAGGTGAACAGTTTTAAAGCCAAAGACAGTAGAGAGTTGTGAAAACCACAGACAGAGTCGGGTAGAGACCATTGCTGATTGTTGACCTTGTGAGCTCCCTACCCTGGCTCTGACCCTCACCTCTGCCCCATCTCCCAACAGCTTCGACAGAGAAGGTGTTTGGTATCATTTACCTTCAGACAAATTTGTGAACTGAAGTTGCAAGGAAAGAGCTAATGAGTATTTGACCGTTGTATTAAATTAATAAACAAATATCTAGATAAAGGTAATTCAGAAAGAAGAGCCGAGAGAAAAGCATAGATAATCATCTCTGCCTTCTAGCTTCATTTGTATCAGAAAAAGAAGAATTTCTGAACAGAAGGGGAGCAAAATTTATGGGAAAATACTTTAGTAGTAGGCTGAAAGGAGGACAGTATAGGAATAATTTCTTAAGTTAATTTTCTCTTAAAGAAAGCGGGAGGGCCTGTAAGGGCTTTGGGTGCTAAATTAGCCTGAAGGTACAAAGCTACAGAAGCATATCAGAAAAGATGTTTGACTCTGTCTATAAGATTCAATATAATTTTCACTGATTGTTTCCTTCAGCAAATATTTATTGGGTACTTATATATATGGTACTGTCTGCCCTCATGGCACTTATATTCTAGAGGGTGAGACAGACAGTACAATAACAAATAAATAAAATTTCAGGTAATAATAAATTCTACGAAGAAAATTGAATTGGGAAAAGAGATGGAGAATGATTGAGTACTCACAGTATCTTTGTTCCCACTGCACTTAGCACAGTGAGAGTCCATAAAAGCCAAATGAATGAATACAGGACTGCCCCCTCCCAAGTTCAAGCCCTCACTACCTCATGCCTAGCTTATTTGTCAGTCACCTTTTCATGGGTCACTTTGCCTTTGTTCTCTCTTGTTTTCAGGTGTGATGCACACCACTGCCTGATTTAAAATGCTACACTTTTTTTTTTCCTGAGGAAGATTTGCCCCAAGCTAACATCTGTGGCTAATTTTCCTCTTTTTGCTTGAGGAAGATTTGCCCTGAGCTAACATCTGTCCCAATCTTCCTCTATTTTGTCTGTGTGTTGCCGCCATAGCATGGCCGCCAATGAGTGGTGTAGGTCCATGCCTGAGAACCACACCTGGGCTGCAGAAGCGGAGCCTGCTGAACTTAACCACAAGGCCATGGGGCCAGCCCCTAAAGTGCTACTTTTATCATGCCACTTTTCCAGTCCGAAACCTTCAGTGGCTTCCTAATGCCTTTTTCTTTTTTTTAGGAAAGTTTAAAGAAAACGCTATATTTGTCTGTCACTGAATCTTCTTTATTGATTAATGTCACTTCTCCCCTATGTCTTACTAAAGACATGTGGTGTCCTTTTAATATTATTATTAACCTAAACAACTTTATAGGAAAGAAGGTAATAGACAGTAAACTATATTTATGTCACTCCAAATCTTTGAACTATGGAGTCACTAAACTTTAGCACTGAGAATGGCCTTGGAATCAGTCTAGATCAACTCCTTCAGTTCATGGATGAGGAAACTAAGAACAAGTAGATAAATTGCTCAAATATCAATACCCAGCCAAGTGAAGGCCCTGTCACCACTAGAACTCAACTCTTCTGATTCCCACTGTCCTCTCCACTGCCCTACTTTATACATACAGACCTTTTTACGTAGTTTAATCAGAGCATATATGCTAATTTATGTCTCTTTTTTTCTGTTTACGTTACTGGATATACACATTTCCATGTATGGATATAAGCCGGGTTCCTGTCATTTTTGGTAGCTACAAGGCATTCCATCATATCCACATAGGCTACGATTCTTTATGAATTATTGTTTTGAGTTGCATGGAGAAAGAAAATGAGCCAACACTAATACTTTGTGTTCACTGTTTTTAGTAATAATACCTGCAGCTTCTTTGTAAATTATGTTAAAATTTAAAAAATTTAAAAATTTTTTTAAATTAAATTTAAAAAATCATATATTCTTAATCTGGCTTACTCATATTTTCTTTTTTAAAAGTGGACCTGCTCATTTCGTGTTTCCTAAGTGTTATTCTTATTTAAGTTTTAAAAAGTATATAGAAAGGTTAAGGTATAAATATATACGAAGTATGAAATAGTTTTAAATTGATAACTGTCAAACTCATTTACTACCGATTCAAAATATGTACTTATTTATATTCCTGATTATTGTTTGTAATTCATCTCAAGGGCATGGCTATTCTGCATTTGAATATACAAAAAAGGCTTTGGAAAGTATTATCCTTCTCCCTCTTCCATTTGGAAAATAGAGGAAAAGAGTCTTTGAAAGGTGAATACCTCAAAAGTTCATTCAATACTTCCCAAAATGTCTCAGGATTTACGGCATTTTATTTTCCAAAGTCTTTGGGAAAATTAAGCCCAGACTGATAATCTAACGACCATTTTGTGGTGTTGCAGTGTTATTTTTCTTGAAAGTCATTATGACAAGATAAAGCAAATTAAAAAAATCCTAGTTCATATTTGAATTGGGTATTGAACAGACTGCTCTGCACCCAGAGAAAACTTAAAAGTAAAGGGCAACACATCCATAAATTGAGCTTTTGAATCAATGTTATTTTTGTAGTTCCTTCATTTTAATACCTGAAAATCACTAACCATGGATGCTACTGAGAACTAAGACTAGATAAGAACTGAAGACGGGAAGATGAACTACTCGTGGGTAGGTAGAATTGCTTGTCCACATTGTTAACAGTAGCTATCATTCACTGAGCCCTTTCTCTAACAGGCTTTATGCCAAGCACTACAACTACATTGTATCATCTAATCCTCATGACTGTTTGGTGTTATTACTCCCCTTTTATGGATTAGTAAACAGAAGTTTGGAGAAGTTAGGCAATTTGCCCAAGGTCACACAGCTAGCAGAGTCAGGATACAGATCTTTAATTCCAAAGCTTATGCTTTTTGTATACCACACTGCCTCTGTTGGGCAAATCATTGAAGGAAAGGGCAGCAGTTTACCTGTGCAATAATCTCATGGAGGGGAACTACATAAAGGTTGAGGTTGTTCCTGTGCGAAGAATATAAGTCCTTTTATTAATTAAAATGTAACATCTGTCCTAGTCATATACTTTTAGCAACTTATCCCGCATTGAAAGATAAAGATTTTGAATGAATGAAGGTTGGTCTTTTTAAATGTTACTGATCATTTATATAGTTTTCATGTGTTGTAAAAAAAAGCCTTCTAAAATCAAACATATCAGATATTACACATACCTGTCCCAGAAGAAAACAAATGAATTTGTTTACAGTGAGCAGAGGAATGAAATAACGTATCACAAACTACTTTTCTTCATCAATGATGAATTTTCAGCCTTTGGATCAATCTTTGTTCTTAAGAGATTCCTGACTTGGTTAACTTTTGCAATAGGAAATCCCATAAATTTTTGAAAAGATAGAAATCCAGAAGACTGGTCTGAACTTGCAGTGCAATTCTTTAAAATTTGACAAGATATTATGTTTTCATCACGACATACGTGATTTGGCTCCCCAAGATGTATGTATTTTGAAAGTACAGTCATGTGTCATGTAACGATGTTTTGGTCAATGACAGACTGCATATACAACGGTGGTTCCATAAAATTATAATGGAGCTGAAAAATTCCTATCACCTAGTGATGTGGTAGCCGTCCTAATGTCATAGCACAACCCATTACTCACGTGTGTGATGATGTTGGTGAAAACAAACCTACTGTGCTCCCATTTGTATAAAAGTATAGCACATACAATTATGTACAATACATAATACTTGATAACAATAATAAAGACTATGTTACTGGTTTGTGTATTTACTATACTATACTTTTTATCATTATTTTAGAGTGTACTCTTTCTACTTACTAAAAAAAAAAAGTTTACTGTAAAACATGCCATGTTACGCTGGCAGCAGCCTCATCCATCTTGTGTTTACCACATCTCTTGATTGCACCATTTTCTCTTGTGCTTGATTTAATCTCGTGTTGTTTTGTTCATCATGGCACTTAAGCATACAAAATCCACTGCTAATGTTGCCAGTAAAAGGCCACGTGGAGTGATTGACCTGGAAACAAAATTTAAAGTGATTAAGGACTACAAAGGTGGAAAATCAGTGACGGTTATTGCTCACCATTCAAGTATGTCCCATTCCACCACAGCTACGATCTTGAAGAACAAGAACACAGTGACAGGGGCTAGCCTGGTGGCGCAGTGGTTATGTTTACATGTTCCACTTTGGCGGCCTGGGGTTCGCCAGTTCAGATCCTGGGTGTGACCTATGCACTGCTTGTCAAGCCATGCTGTGGCAGGCATCCTACATATAGAGGAAGGAAGGGCAGAGATGTTAGCTCAGGGCCAGTCTTCCTCGGCAAAAAGAGGACTGGCAGCAGATGTTAGCTCAGAGCTAATCTTCCAAAAAAAAAGAGAACAAAGTGACAGAAGCTGTTAAAGGATCTGCTTCATTGAAGTTAATGAGACTAACAATAATTCAAGAAGTGTCTATAACAGCCATCAAGAAACTTCTAATGACCTAGATTGAAGACCAAACACAGAAGTGTACACTTCTTAGCACCATGATGGTCATGGCCAAAGCAAAAAGTTTGTTTGTGATGTTGAATGAAAAGCCTGGATCAGACTATGATGTTGAATTTGCTGCCAGCTCTGGGTAGTTTAAACAATTCGAGAATTGTTATTCATTACATAATGTGAAAGTGAGTGGTGAGTATGCGAGTGCTGATGGGAAGGCAGCTGAAGAATTTTTGGAAACTCTAGATAAGCTGACTGTGGAGGAAAATCACTTACCAGAGCAAATGTTCAGTATGGATGAAACCTCCCTATTCTGGAAACAGATGCCTGAAAGGGCTTTCATCCATAAGAAGGACAAGTAAATGCCAGGTTTCAAAGCTTTTAAGGACAGGATAACAGTCTTGCTTGGGGGCAATGTTGCAGGCTAGAAATTGAAACTCTCTGTGACCTGGCATAGTGAGAAGCCCAGGGTCTTCAAGCATATCAGTAAGCACACACTGCCAGTGTATTACAGGAACAATAAGAAGTCATGGATGACCTAGCTCCTCTTCCAAGATGCCCTCCTGAATTGCTGTGCCAGTGACATGAAGAAGTACTGTTTGGAGAGTAACTTACCTCCCAAGATTTTGCTTATTGTTGATAATACTCCCAGACATCCTTCTTTTATTGGTGATCTTCATCCCAATATCAAAGCAGTGTTTCTTCCTCCAAACACCACCTCTTTGGTCCAATCAATGGATCAAGGAGTTATAGCAGCTTTTAAGGCCTATTACCTGAGGAGGACCTTGCCCAGTCTATTGCTGCAACTGAGGAAGACTCTGATGCAATTCTGGGAGGATTACAACATGTACGACTGCATCAAAAACCTTGCTTGAGCTTGGGGTGATGTCACCAAGGAGTGTATGAAAGGCATCTGGAAAAAGACACTCACGAGGTTCATCCATGACTTCAAAGGATTTGCCAAGGATGAGGAGGTTGCAAAAATCAACAAGGCTGTGGTTGAGGTGGCAAATAATTTGAACCTAGGTGTGGATGAGGATGACACTGAGGAGCTCCTGGAGGTAGTTTCTGAGAAATTGACTAATGAGGAGTTGTTGGAACTGGAACAGGAACACATAGCTGAAGAAGAGGCAGGAGAAAAGGAAACTGCAGGAGAAGAAAAAAAAGAACTCCCAAGAAAATTCACAGTGAAGCATTTAGCAGAAGCTTTTGCAGCCCTCAACAAGCTCCTTAAAAAGTTTGAAAACATGGACCCCCAATACCTAAAGGTTTTCATTATAGAGAGGAATGTTCATGGTGCATTATCTGCTTACAAGCAAATCTATGATAAAAAAAAAAAAAAGAAACAAATCAAGCAAACCACCATGGACATATTTCTGAAAAGAGTGACACCTCCTCAAGAGAAGCCTCAGGCAGGTCCTTCAGGAGTTATTCCAGAATCCTATGTTATCATAGGAGATGACAGCTCCATGTGTGTTATTCCCCCTAAAGACCTTCCAGTGGGACAAGAGGTGGAGGTGGAAGACAGTGATATTGATGATCCCAACCGTGTGTACACCTAGGCTAACGTGTGTGTTTGTGTCCTGGTTTAACAAAAAAGTTTAAAAAGTAAAACAAAAAAATTTTTTAATAGAAAAAAGCTTATAGAATAAAGATATAAGAAGGAAAATATTTTTTTATAGCTGTACAATGTGGGGTTTTTTTTTTTTCTGCTTTTTCTCCCCCAATCCACCCGGTACATAGTTGTATATATTTTAGTTGTGGGTCCTTCTAGTTGTGGCATGTGGGGCGCCGCCTCAACATGGCCTAATGAGCGGGACCCAGGATCCGAACTGGTGAAACCCTGGGCTGCTGAAGCGGAGTGTGTGAACTTAACCACTTGGCCACGGGGCTGACCCCTGTATTTTTGTTTTAAGCTAAGTGTTATTACAAAAGAGTCAAAAAGTTAAAACAACATTTAAAAGTTTATAAAGTAAAAAAAGTTACGGTAAGTTAAGGTTAATTTATTATTGAAGAAGGAAAAATATGTTTTTATAAATTTAGTGTAGCCTAAGTGTACAGTGTTTATGAAGTCTACAGTTGTGTATAGTAGTGTCCTAGGTCTTCACATTCACTCACCACTCACTCTCCGACTCACCCAGAGCAACTTCCAGTACTGCAAGCTTCACTCATGGAAGTGCCCTATACAAGGTGAGCCATTTTTATCTTTTATACCATATTTTCACTGTACTTTTTCTATGTTTAGATATGTTTAGATACACAAATGCTTATCATTGTGTTAAAATTGCCTACAGTATTCAGTACAGTAATGTACTGTACAGGTTTGCAGCCTAGGAGCTTACCATATAGCCTAGGTGTGTAGTAGGCTATCCCATCTAGGTTTGTGTAAGTACATTCTATGATATTCGCATAGGGATGAAATTGCCTAACAACACACTTCTCAGAACATATCCCCATAATTAAAAGATGCATGATTGTAGCTGTGTTGAGGGAAAGAGATTAACAAAGGAACTAGAAAGGCGGAAAATGTGCTATGGTAGCCAGCCTCCAAGATAACCTAGAATGATCCTCATATCTTGGTATTCCCCTCCTACATTGAATCAAGGCTAATTTGTGTGACAAACAGATTACCGTAGAAGTGACAGTGTAGGACTTCTGAGGTTAGATAGTAAAAGACGTTCTACCTCTGCCTTCGCCCCTTAGATCCCTTCCTTTTGGGAAAGCCAGCCACCGTGGATGCAAGAGCACTTGACGTTAGACCTAGGTGAAGAGAACCTGAGGGGTCCTACCAAAAGCCCGCACTAACGTGCCATCCATGTGAGTGAGCCACCTTGGAAGCAGATCTGGTAGCCTTCAGATGACTGTAGTCACAGCTGCCATCTGACTGAACCTCATGAGAATCTCCAAGCTAGAACTGTCCAGCCACAGAAACTATGAGAGATAATAAAATTGTGCCACAAAGGTTTGGCACAATTTGGTTTACAGAAATAGATAACTTACATACACACTACCATTTAAATATTGCTTTGCAGAAAGGATGTCTATTCTCTTCCCAATTATGAGTTTGGATCCAGAAAAGAAAATAGCACCTATGCCAGGGAGCTCAATACTTGGAATCTAACATGAGGAACTAGTTTAAAATGTTTGGAAGAATTCAGAGGGTAAATAGGAGGATGGTGGGACTCCCAGAGATGAGCAACATGAGGGAGTTGCTACCCTTAGGGCTGCAGGGACTAGAGGAAGAGACCGTGTTGCCCAGATGTGGTAACAGATTTTTTTTAGCAGATTCTCCAGCCCCAGTTAAGCCTTGAGGTAACTGGAACCTGGATGACATCTTGACTGAAACTTCATGAGAAACCCTGAGCCAGAACCACCTGGCTAAGCCAGGTCCGAGATTCCTGACCCTCAGAAATCCTGGGAGATAATAAATATTTGTTATTTTAAACTGCTAAGCTTCAGAATAATATGTTACATAGAAATAGATAACTAATATAGATTTTGATACCTGGAAGTGGGACAAAATCCTAAAATGCAGAAATGACTTTGGAACTGGGTTGTGGGCTTTGGGGAGAGTTAGTGAAACTCTAAAGTACCTCAACAAAACTGTTAATAGAAGTATCTTGATCTTTTATATGGCTGCAGGTGAAGTCTTGCAAGAAAATGAAGTAATGTTATTGGAAACTGAAGAAAAGGGGATCCTTATTATACTGTATAGTGGCAGAAAGTTCAACAACATTGTTGCCTGAAGTAACTGAATGGTAGAAAGTGTGTCTAATGAACTGGGTGATCTAGCTAGAGAGATTTCCAAGCAAAGGTTTCTTCTTGTTGCTTACAGCAAAATGTAAGAGGAGAGAGAGAAACTAAAGGAAGAACTGTTAAACAACAAGGAGACAGAATTTGCTGGTTTTGAAAATTCTCAGCCTCTCCAAATGGCAAACAATGCTAAAGTTAAGATATAGCTTCTGAGCAAAAATCAAATCCAGGGCACTACCAGTAAAACACGGTCCAAAGAAAAAGCCAAAGGTGTGGCTATAAAATCTTTTGTTAGTCTCAAAAAGATTTAAGGTTGCGCATTAGAGTACTATTGAGTCAGACAAAAGGGCTTCTAAGGAGATTAAAGGTATATCTCTTTAGGAGATTAAAGGCATAGTCTCTTAATAAAATGGTAAAGTGTCTAGGAAACTTAAGTTCATTGTCCCTCAGCCATCCCATCAGAAGCCCAAGGTAGAGAAGAGCTTATTTGAAAGATATTTGTAGGTGTGGCTTTGTCTAATGGGGTAGACCCCCATAAGATTCATGGAAGACTCATAAAATTTTTTAAAGAATTATGTATGCAGAAATATTGTCACCTTGGACCAAAAGGGATAAAGATGGGACAAAATAAAAAGAGGCCTTTAGACCCTCAAATTTCTACTAGGAAGAAGTAGGCTGAGAAAATTCCTCATCTATAAGTATGGGCTATCTTTCATGAAAAAGGGAGGATGACCTAGAAGTCAGAACCAAGACCCCAGAACATGATGCTGAGAGCCAGGGAGAATTATTCCCCAGCCTTGAGACTTAATCAAGGAACTTTCAACATTAGCTTAGCTGGATTTCAGAATTATAATGGACCAGTGACTCCTTTGTGCCTGCCATCTCCCCTCCTTTTGAACAGAAATATCTACAGCAGTTACCCTGTTACGCCTGTCTCACCATTGTGTGTTGGGTATACGGAGGGGCAGATAAACTTTACTTTCACCGGGGGAGAAGAACTGTACTCAAGGAGCTACATTTAAGGAACTAAACCCAGGGAGCCTCAACTGCACCTGGACCTGATTTAGATGATGAGATGCCATACTTCAAGCTGATGCTGTAATAAAGGTGAGACTTGTGGTGACTTTGGGAGAAAGTGAGTGTATTTTACACGTGGGAGGGACATGAATCCTGGGGGACCAGAGAATGGACTGTGGTAGCCAGCCTCCAAGATCAGCCCTCAATTATCCTTGCCTCCTGGTATTCACACCCTTGTGTAGGCCCTTCCTACACTGTGTCACAATTGGTCTGTGCGACCAACAGCATGTGGCAGAAGTGATGGTATGTAACTTCTGAGGTTAGGTTATTAAAAAGACTGCAGCTTCCATACCAGTATCTCTCTGTCTCTCTGTCTCTGTCTCTATTTCTATCTCTTGGATAACTCCCTGTTGGAGAAGCAAGCTGCCATACTGTATGCAGCTCTAGGGAGAAGGCCACCTGGCAGAATACTAAAGCCTCTAGAAACTGTGTCCTGCCCACAACCATGTGAGTGAACTTAGAAGTGAATTATTCAGCCCTACTCTAGCTATGAGATGACTGCAGTCCCAGCCAACATCCTGAAAGCAACCTCATGAGACCTTGAATCAGAACCACCTGGCTAAGTCACTCTCAGATTACTAAACCTTAGGAACTGTATGACATAATAAAATGTTTGTTGTTTTAAACTGTGAAGTTTTGAGGTAATTTATTATGCAGTAACAGATAACAAACACACCAGCCCAAGAGCTAGGACTGCCCAACAGAAGCTAGAACAGAAGCTAGAGAGGGGCTGTCCTTCTGCAGTAGGAGCCATAAAGAAGATGCAGCCACTACTGGAGACACTGCATGAAGCACAGGGAGAAGGAAAGACCTAGCCTCTTCATGGCCCCTCATCTGCCACCCTTGCCTCCACTGGCCAAACCAAACCACAAGGAAATTGTTAAGGGAGCCTGAGAAATGTCATGTGCAAGGAGCAACCTCTTGCAATACAGAACAGGGCAGAGCAAGAGAAGGAAATTAATCTGAGAACAAATAGGCAAACTACCAGCACAACCAAGAATCCTTTTTCCAGGGAATCCTCAATAACATTCTTCGGAACCTTGTCTCAAACTCCAGTTTGGGAAACAATGGCCTTAACCTACTCTTCTCCAAATGTCTGCAAGTCTAAATCTTATATATTAATTATCATCCACTTCAAGTACAAAGTTTTTCTCCACTAATCTTTTGTTCCTCATTACCCTGGGTAGCCCCATCTTCTTTCAGTTCCACAGCATTTGATCTACACCCATTTTAGGCATTTTTAAACACAATTTATAGTTATTTAGTGCATGTCTTATTGTCTGAGAATTAATAAGTTTCTTGAGGGTCAGCTCTATTTCTGATGTACTGTTGCATATTGCCCCATAGTCACAGCGCCTAGTACAGAACCTTGCTCAGAGTAAATATCAATAGGTATTAAGTGAATGAGTATTAAAGCCAGTGATAGAAATGGTATAAAACGCTGTTAACTTTGTCTATATTACTATTAAATGCTTTATATACTCCTGCTGGAATCAAGAGATTCTAGGATAATCTTTCTATTTTCTTGGCTGGTCACATCTTTTGAACTCCTTTGAACCTTCTCTAGGGGGAAGAGAACAATAAAATTGCAAACCGGTTTGTATCTGGGCAGGAATAATTATCCTGTGAGACCAAAGTCCTGCCTGGAACTTTTTAGAAGGAGGAGTAGGTTCAGAGAACTGCACTTGTCTCCTCTCTCAACTTTGACTACTCTGAGAAAAGTCATCTGCTCAGTAAGAAAGGAATGCTCAGCATTTTGCAAAAGTGATTTCCTCTACTTCCCTATCTTTCTTGCTGATGCCTTGATAGAGGGAATAAATATAAAACAGAAAGGATGTTTTTACATAAGCTCCTCTTAATTAGTTCAGGCTTCTTCACTTCCTGCCTGGATTACCACAATGCCCCCAACAAGTCTCCTGGCATCTTGTTTCTAAAAACAAATCTTCTAAAAACACTCTCATGTTTAACGTTTTTCAGTGGTTACTCATTCTCTTCTGGATAAAATCCAAACTCTTCATGATTTGGCCTTGGGATTACTTCTTCAGCCAAATCTTTTCTTATCAACATCAAGCTTTCCAGTCCTCCCCCTCTTCCTTCTGCCTCTTTCCTTTCCCCTCTCACCTGAATCTTCTCCTAGTTCAACCCAACTCATCCTTCAAGATTTCGTTTCAACTGTCCCTCAAGGAAGTTTCTCTTGAGCCTCTCGGATAGAGTAGGCTCCCTTAGCATACTTTATAGATCACTTTGGCCTTGGGCAAGCTGCTCTCTAAACCTCAGTATCCCAATCTAGAAAATTGCTTGTGGCAAGGATAATAGATAATTGATGCAAAATACTTAGCACAGTGCCTGACATATATATTAAGTGTTACATATTAGATGTTAAATCATGGCAATTATTTAATCCAATATCTTCATTATATTTGGGAAAACAGAGATCCAGAGCAGTCAAACGATGGGCTCAAGTAGAATAAAGATAGAGAGAGGGAGACATCTGATTCGCTTATGAAGATTTACAAACCAAATTTCAAAGTGAGGAAATTAGGAGGGATTGACTTCAAATCTAATATTAAAATAAAACATTTATCAAGAAATAAACTTGGGGTTGAGAGTAGATGCTACACTACTAAGAAAAATGGCAAGTCAGGGCAACTTTCAAGACAATTCAGGATATTTGACACAACTGAAATGTTTTCTTAACTGTCTCAACTTGCTAATTTACTTTTTCTGTTTATTTCTATATTCAACGAAGTAGTGTCTGTGCATTCACTAAATAAAATGGTTTGTAACTCCTTGACATTTTTTTTTTTTATTGAATTAAGTACAACGTTAAACCATTAACATGACCTTTAGAAAATCAATATTGTCCCCGGGCTCAAGACCACTTACTCTACAGCTTAATTGGTCCTTAGCTTTCAGCTTCTGACTCTAGACTTGTATTATCCAATACAGTAGCCACTAGCCTCATGTGGCTGTTGGGCACTTGAAATATGGCTAGTCCAAATTGAAATGTGCTATATAAGTGAAAATACACACAGATTTTAAAGGTTTGGTAAAAAAAAAAAAAGCAAACTATCTCAATAATTTTTTACATTGACTACATGTGAAATGATAATATTTCTGTTATATTGGGATAAATATAATCTATAATTAACATTAATTTCACCCATTTCTTTTTATCTTTTTTACTGTGGCTACTGAAAAAAATTTTACTTATGTCCACTGGACAGTGCTGTTCTAGATCCTGGGATTTTTCAGAATCAGGTGGGGAGCGTTAGTTCTAAGATCAGATACTCCCCTCTCCTGGATTTTCTTTGTCTCAGTGATGTAACTCTGTCACCCTTCCTGGAGGCCAAAGGCCTCCACTATCCCATTCAGAATGGGGCCCTCAAAAGGCTGAAAGAGTTAAAGAAACAGTTTTAAATGTAGATCATTGAGCGAATCCACATTTCAAAGAGTCAAAGACAATAGGTGATTATCGACCCCAGGCAACAGCTAAGATTCACCTTACCATTCCTGATTGGCTCTCCTGTTTACTTGGATCATCTCTTAATCGTCACAACAACTCTAACATTTAGGTGCTATTATTACATACACATTTTACAAATGAGTAAATGGAAGTTAGGGAGCTAGCAGGCATGGTCTGGAGTTTTGACCCCAGGTGGTCCAACTGTCCAAGTGTCATATCTAGCAAGACTACAAGCTCCTTGAATATCCTGTACCTTGTCCCTTCATGACCTGACACATACGAGATGGTCAGTAAGTATGTGTAGTAAAATGTATATACAGTATGACTTCAACCATGTAGGGAAAAAAAAATATGGAAAAGTCTGGAAGGAAATACATCAAAATGTTGAAAGATGGTTAATTACGAGTGGTGATGTTATGGGCATTTTTTGATAATGTACATATTTTGTTTTTCAATTTTACACTTTTCTGTATCTTCCAAACTTTTGACAATGTGCATATACTGTTTTTACTTCCATTACTCTTTAAATCACGCAAAATGTCCTTTTAAGAGAATGTAGATGGTCACTGACATGTTCTCTGTGTGCTGATACTGCTCTTTTCTTCTTCCCGTGATGTTTCCATTTCCCTCACAGTTGGTGACCCTCTCCTCCACTTCCGCTTCTCCATTCTCTCTCTCAATCTCTCTCTTCTGCTTTTTCATCTCTCTCTCCCTCCCTCCCTCTCTTGCTCTGTCCTGCTCCTTTCCATGAGCCTTTCTCAGACTTTTTCCTCTAGATCTTCCTCCTCTCTTGTCTCCTCTCTCTCCCTTCTTTCTGAGAAGATTGACATTCAAATGAAAGGTCAATCGAATGTGACTCTGCACTTGGTAGGTTTCTGGGAGATTCTATCTGCCTCTGGAGTCCTGAGAAAGGTCCTCAAGTTGGGGGCAGGGGAACGGAGGGGGAAACTTCTAAAGAGGATGGCTACATTTTGGATAAAATCAGAGGTGGGCAGGACATTTCAGAGTGACAAAAGTAGTGGGCACAAAAGTCTGAGGATTCTCTCAGGGAAAGAGAGATGAGCAGAGGGGCTTTTACCTTATTGGGTCTGGGGATTGCTGTCTCCCCGTGCTGGCACTCAATTAGAAAGGATGTGGACCTTAGTTGATTTGAGCTCCTGAATTGAATTAGTCCTGGTTGTATAATTGACTTTGATATGTGGCCTTTGGATCTGAATTGGGTTTAATAAGATTTAACTGCTTCAAAGGGCTTTATAAGAATTCATTTTATCCTTCAAATCTGATTTCAAATGCTACCTACTTTAAGACACCTTCTCTGACTTTGGTGCGCCTCATCCGGCGCTTCTATTATGCCATAGTAGATGCATACCTTATTCAAGCAATTACTTCCATTGTATTTTATCTTATTCTGGGGAAATGGTTCCTTTATTGCCTCTCTTCAGGAATCTTGAAGGACAGGCAAGTATCTTATTCATCTTTGTATCCCAGGCCTAGCACAGACCAGGAACACACTTAGTTCAGCATGCAGGCACTCAATAATGATTTTTAAAGGTTTATCAACAGTTAACATTTAGTAAGCACCATGGGAAGCCCTATACCTACACTGTTTCATTTGGCAGACACTTTAGGAGAAAAGTACTTTTATTATCCCCATTTTACAATGAGAAAACTGAGAGTAAGAGAAATTAGTTTGATCTAAAGTCAAATTTGATCCAAGATCAACTAGTAAGTGGCAGAACAGGCTTTTGACATCAAGATTTGGGATGGATGGGGAATGCTTTCACTCCAGGGCTGAAGAAGTGACATGGAAGAGTCCACCATTTATTTACAAAGGCAATTATGATTTAAAATCATGGTAAGTCCTAACTCACGGTATTTCTAACTTTTGAATCACCTTTATTTCTTCCTTCCTCCTTTCCTCCCTCTTTGCTTCCCTTCCTTCCTTCCTCCCTCCATTCCATCCTTCGTTCCCTTCTGTCTCTCTTTTTCTTTCTCTTCTAAAACTCTCAAGAAAAATGTTTGAACTCCTACACTGAAGTGTAGTTCAGTCAAGAACTGAGTGTTTTACTGGGAAGGGGACTAACATTTTACGTATTTGGTTCTTACTTTTTACCATTCATTCATTTGCAAATTTACAAATATCAAGCACCTACTGTGTGCTAGGAACCATTTTTAGGCACTAGAGATACAGGGGTAAACGAAACAATGTCCCGGTTTTCACGAAGATTACATTCTAGTGGGCACTTTACTCCGGTTCGCTTACTCCTCACGATAACCGCATGAGGTAATGATGACACAATCATGGATAACTCTTAACAACGCTTATCTGTGCCAGGCACTGGGCTACGTGCTTTATTTGTATTAACTCAATTATCACAACAACCCTATCAGGAGGGGTTATGTTTTCTCCATTTTATAGATGAGGAAACTGAGACACAAGGAGGTAAGTGACTAGCTCAAGTGTCGAACCCAGGCAGTGTGGCTCTAACTCCCAGGCTATTAACCACAAGGCTATATTGTTTCGTTTATGTTTCTTTAATCACACCTTTTAAGTGGCTGAGTCCTATCTCAGATGATCCCAAACCCAGGGGTTTGCGCTGTACCCCAGCGGCCTCGTGGAATAAAATGAGATTGCCCTGGAATTTTGGCAACACTCTCTCTTCCAAAGAATTCAAGCTGATTTCCACCTAATTCTCAGATTTGTGATGTGAACTTTGTACTATAAATTTCCCGGCAAGGAGCAAGTTAGGGCCAAGGCCCCGGATCATCTTACTCGGGCCGGGGCACCCAGCAGATGGCGCTATCTTAGTAGCCACCAGCTGGCTGCCCCGTCTCCGGGGCTCACCGTGTCTGCCGAAAGCTTCCCGGCCCTCCCTCACTCCCTTCTCTCTCCCCCTCCCCACGGAGCCCAGGCCCACGTGACCTCAAGGCGGCCAATGGGCAAGCAGAGAGGGCGAGCTGGTCCCTGTGGCCGCCATTAAAGCGAAGGGAAAACCCGTGAATTCGGATTAAAGGGGGAAAAACACCGCCCGCTGGGCCCACAAAATGGGGGAGACTACGGCGTCCGGGCGGTGAGGCCGCAGGAGAGCAGACGTTAGGCCGGCTTGGCCCAGGGACAACACGAAGACACAGCCGGAGAATGGTCTGAGCCCGCAGACGCCGCCACCACCTCCGCCACTGAGGAGACTCTGGGCATAAGGACATCGCCGCTGCCGGGCCGGGGGCCTGGGCTTCTCTCCGGCTTCTCGCCCTTCCCGCCCCTTGCGGGCGCCTCCCGCCCCGGGAGAAGCCTCCAGGGCTTGGGCTCTGCCCTTTCGGACTCGATTTTAATTATTTATTGTGTAATTTATTATTTTACTTGTGGCAGGGGCACCCATCTCCTCCGTCCCCCAGAGAGGGACGAGCGTCCGCGGGCTCCGCGGCGGCCGCAGTCCGGCCCACGGGGCGAGCGCGGCGCGGCCCTCCCGCCTCCGGCCCTCGGCCCCGGGCGGCGGGGTGCCGGCCGGGCGGCGGGGGCTGCTCGCGGCGGCGGGGGGGTGGGTGGGGAGGGCGGGCGGCCCGGCGGCCTCCTCTTCCACCGCCCCCCTCAACCACCACCCCCCCGCCCTCCCCGGTGTCTGTGTTTCTCTCTCTGGTCGGAGGCGGCGGTAATGGCGGATGGTGGGTTGTGGCGCCGGCGGCGGCTGCTGTGAGGGACGATGAGTTCCTCCTTCGTGCCGAACGGGGCCAGCCTGGAAGATTGTCACTGTAACCTCTTCTGCCTGGTGAGTGCCGGGGCGGCGGGCGGGGGCCGCGGCGGCGGGGCCGTGGAGGAGGGGGCCGCGAGGTGCGCCCTCGGGCCGTGGGGGAGGGGGCCGGGCCGGAGCCCGCTGCCCGAGCGAGTCCCCGGGCTGGGCCAGGCCGGGCCGGCGCCGCGGCGGAGTCCGCTCCAGCTGGGGACGCGCTCCTCGCCTGCCCGGGCTCCGCTCTGGGAGGCTGGCTGTTTCTCTCGGCTTGTTGCTGACTCTTTTCTTCCTCGCCGTAGTCTTGTCTTAAACTTGGGCTCCTTATCTGGCAGGACGCTAACATTTCCTCCCGTGTTTCTCGCTTAACTGTTGCTCTTCTCCTCGTTGCCTCGGTGTCCCTGCTTCCCACTTTCCGCGATCACCCCTTCTCCCGCTGCCTTCCTGCCTCGCTCGGGCGGTTTGGTTTCCCCCAATAAACAGGACCCCGGAACTTGTGCGCTAACAACCTCTTGTCGTTTTCCATTTTTTAATGAGTCAAACGGAGGGTTAGTTTCTTCCTTGGGTGACTTCAGACCTGGACGAAAACCAGTAGATGCCCTTTCGTATGTTCTTTCTTGAAACTTTGAAAACAGTTTGCCGTTTTGACAATTCTAGCCATCTTTTATTAGAACATTATGTTTGTGTGAGAGTGGAGCGGGCTAATGGAGGAGGTGCTGTGGTTTTGCGCTAAGTATCTGTGTATTTGTCTGTTTTGCTTGCGTTTTTAACATGTTTTTGAGCAGGCTGCTCCTCGTTTTATTAAAAAGTCTGGGGAAGCTGGATGTAGGGATGACAGTTGTGTAGGTTGGCCCAGGACTGGAGACATCCAACAGTGAAGACTTTCAAAAGTACCAACTGTTGCAAATATTTAGTCCTCAGTTGGACAGTAGCTTAGCTTCATCAGTGGTTTAAAGTTTCGGTGACTTTCTTTTTTCATTTTCCTTGTGCTATGAGAAATATTAAGAGAGTATGTGATAGGTAAGTGAATTAAGTGGGCGGAGCGCAACTAGTTGGCAAGTGTAAGCTGCCAGTCATGTATCAGCAGTTTCATTTTTGGCACCTTCTGCTTTGCACCTTTAAGTTAAAGAGTTGCTGAATTCCCTCCGTCGGATTTCTTTCACGATGCTAAGTTGAGCTCTTTAAGGCCCTCCCTCCCTATAAAATGTTTGCTGTGCGGTGTCCATTAATCACCATCTCTTCAGATGTAGTAAGACGTACAGCAGGTTTTAGATTTCTGTCTTCTCACACTCAGTCTATTTTTGGTACTTTTAGGATCAGGTTCTTTGAAGATAGGCTAGCACAAATCTGACAGTTCTTTGTGAGCAGCTATTTGACTTTTCCTGAAAGTGATGTGTGAAGAGTTAAGAATTTTTTCAGTTGTAGTTCAGATTTCTTTTCTTTAGAGCCATGACTTCTATCAACATGAATAATGTCTTTAAAAACTTAATTTTCTCGTACAAGTTTGACACTAAGGAACAAATGTGACCGATTAGAACAGAACTTAGGACAGAGAGGATATTTCTTCTCTGTGTGCCGTATTAAAGTACACGTTTATATTTAAATTTTTAAGTTTCTTTTATTTCTCCTTGAGACACGTATTTATTAACTTGCTTTTCAGTGACATGTGAGTGCTAAGTTTTAACTGTTTTCCTAAAATTTTTGGTTGTTGAATTATCAGAATTAATAAGTATTAGTTGATGTGTTTTTAATATCTTAAGCATATATTGAAAAATTGTAATGTTTTAATGAAATAAGGGACTTTAAGAGGGAGTACTTTTCACTTTTTTGAGTGAATGTGTAACAATAAAAAAAAATGCTTTCTTTTCTCCAGGCTGACTTGACGGGAATTAAATGGAAAAGATATGTATGGCAAGGCCCAACTTCTGCCCCTATTCTGTTTCCGGTGACTGAGGAAGACCCCATTTTGAGCAGTTTTAGTCGCTGCCTTAAGGCAGATGTGCTTGGTGTTTGGCGGCGAGATCAAAGACCTGGAAGAAGAGAATTGTGGATATTTTGGTGGGGTGAAGACCCCAATTTTGCTGACCTTATTCACCATGACTTATCAGGTGAAAGCAGCTTATCATTTCTAACTAATGATGTAGCACTGTTGTATACTTTTCCCAAAAATGATTTATATTAACAAATTAAGATTTTTGGGGGGGGAAGCTCTCAGGTATGAAGCCGGATAAAAATTCAGCTTGATGTTTTGTTTCACTGCGGTTATTTTACTTAAATAATCCATATTATGGCAGGCTTTTTAAGCCTTGAATAACTTTATTTTTCCGCTACCCAGCTTCCTCATGAATTTCTCGCTGTTAGGGCCCAAGTAAGGCATTTCACCTTAACTTAAGAAAAATGGAATCAGTATAAAGTTCCCAACAGTCATACAATACTTTTGAAGCCAAGTGTAATTTACCTTTGAGTCAGTTCTGCCACTGCTCTCTTCTCTGTGGGTATGCAGACAGTTGTAGGGGTATCTAGAAATGTATTGTAATTTTTTTGTCTTTTCAAGGCATGTAGTTATTTTGTTACTGTTATTTGTGGTTGTTATTTTATTAACATATGAAGGCATATGTTAATTTTGTTGTTCTTGAGAAGTGATTCTTTTATTTTAGATACTATTCTTCAAAGACTACCATTAATGTGAGATGAATGCCAACTTGTTTAGCTTTTATAGGACATAGGGTCATAATATAAAAAGTTACACAGAAGTAATTTTATAATTTTATTATGAGTAAATCAGTAAGATTGCTTCCATCTTGTTCTCTTGACTTTTAGGACAAAATATCACTTTAGAAAGAGAAACTAGCTCTTCTTGTAATTGCTGAAGCTTGTGTTTACTTTATTTAGGCTGTAAGAGTCAACGTTAACCGACTCTTTAATGACAGGAATGTAAATGATTGGTTGTTTGCTGCAAGGTACCAAAGACTTTAACAGGATGTTTGATAATGATTCTTGACAGGTAAATTTAGGATTGTTAGATAACTAAAAAAAGTGTTCTTATTTGAAGTTGAGTACACAGAAGTTTCTGTTATTGTCCATTTGATCTATTGGACCTATTTTGGTTTTGGGTGTAATGTAATTTAGGTGACTATCTCTAACAAGCACTTAGCAAGACCAATGTTTGTGCAGGAATGTATGTGTTACCTGTTACACTTGTTTGTTTTGATAGTTGCTTTTTACCTACTAATGAACAAACCCTTCAGTGTTAATCCTTCTTTTTGAGAGTGATTGTAATTCTTTTATGATAAATGCTTTCCAGCTTTTCCAGCTTTCCTGATAAGATCCCTGCTGGAGAGTCTAGCCCTTAGTTCCAACTGTGTAATATAGTTCCAAATATGTTAAGTGTTGTGTTTGTATATACGTATATGTACATATATATGATGTATGCATGTGTGTTAGGATATAAAATTCCTTTATGGCATCACAAGATGGTGCTTTCTAATTGTGCCAAAAGCTAAGCCTGCTGGCTTTCTTTTTCTTTCATTGACTTAGGTATACTTGAGTTATTGTATTCTTTGTTTTAACTGGTCTTAAAAACCACCTTACTAAAATGTTTGGAGACTGTTTTAATGTTGTTGATAAATTATCTGTAAGCTATAGATAACTATAATCATTGATAAACTCTAAACTCTAATGCCGACTTGGCAATTTCAGTTTTAATAAAGTTGGCAGAGCATCTGAACAGACCATTTTTTCCCCCCGATTCCATGAAATACATTATGTGGAATCAAAGATAATTTTAACAGATATGTAGTATTAATTTTATCATCATAGGACTAATGTTTTGAAATTTAAAGCCTATTAAGTTAAATGTGAGCTGTTTTGATGTGTATTAAAACACTATGTGGATTTTTTTTCTTCTAAGTTTCATATTATGAATTAAATATGTTTTCTCCTGAAACTGGGTTACAGTTTAAAAATTTGTCGTCTAGTTTAACTTTGTTTTTTAGCATAATTTTTAAAAATGGTAATGCTTATACTTTAAAATATTGATCTTAAATGTGAATGAAAGTGATTTGGGAAGATTAGGTTCTAATTCTTGTCAGATTTTTGCTGAATGCCATTGAATAGTACATAACTTTTAAAAATTTAGAGTGAAAACAATTGAAATAGTAAATCAAAATATATTAGTAGTATGTAATCATGTTTACTGTTCCAAAGCCTGTTGTGTACTGTTTTAAATAGTTCGTATAGTCAGTAGTATTTATATAATGTTTTAGCTTTTTTTTTAACCTGTCATTTTCTTTAGAGTGTTGTTACTTAAATCAGACATATCTTAAAGAATAATAAGGTCTCTTCAGATGGAATATATTTCTCTTGCCCTTTTCTTTGCTCCAGGGACACCGTCTGCCTCCCTTTTGGGGTAATTAGTCTGCCTCTGTCTCTCTAGCTAACCCCTTTTTCATTTCTTTCCATCTGTGGCACTCTATTCCGTTCTTTTAAGCTCCCCTGAGAAGAGAGCAGCTGGACAGTAGGGGTGGCATCAGCTGCAGGAGGGAATCCTGAGTTCCAAGTGGAGGTGTAGCACTGAGGAAAGGGGAACCGGAAGGACCCAGGTGGTAACTAAAAAGCTGGTTAATTTAGTTTTGAGCCTGCTCTTCACAGGCTGTGTCCTTCTCTTTGGTTCATCGCCTACCATGTCTTATTGCTGAAATGTTTGTGATTCTGGTGATAATATTGCCCTTCTTGGTGGGAAAAGGAGGGAACGCATTCCTCTTCGCAAAGATTGGAATTCTCAGTTTTTCTTA